GTTTTTTTTTTTTTGGTTAGGTATATTCTGCTTGTAGAGAAAATTATTTTGTCAGATGTTTGTGGACTAGATTCACCTATTGTCTGGAAAGCAGCAAAGGGGACAGAGGCAGCTGTTCATAATTCTTATGGATGACTTTTAGAGCTAGAACTGGACATATGAGAACATTTCTGGGCATTTTGCAGCCCTGTTAAGGACTGGGGCAGTGAATCTCTAATTCCAGTTCAGAATTGTCAGCCTTAATCGGACCTCTTGAAATGCTGTGCTCTGCCTCACACTTGCAAAAAACAGATAAAAAAGTAGCAGGATAAGGATATATTCAGAAAAGCCTGTGCTCAAGCATATCAGTGCAAGTCCCAGTGAAAACTCCACTGCTGTGCAAGGCTTCCACAGTACCCCTTCAATGCTCTCCTGCCAGGGATTGCTTCCTTCCCTTCCAAAAAAGGGGAATCAAAAGCATTTCAACATGCAAGTTTAGGCAGGCACTGTCTCTTCAGGGCTTGCTGGACTGGGCATAATAAGTCCCAATCTAACCCCTAGACATCACTTTGAACTCTCATGGCATCAAAGGGAATGTAACAAACCATGACAAGCAACTTAAAAGGAGAACAGGCCAGAAAATGACAATTGCATTTCATGACAATCTCAAGGTTTCAAATTTTATTTGTTTGTTTGTTCTGCTTTGGAATGAAACAGAAAATCTCCCAGTCTTATTGAACATTTTCACAGAACAGAATGTGTTGAAAGGTATTTTCAGATGAGAGAGGTCAGGTTTATAATTCACTGTTTCTCAATGACTGTTGGTTTTCCCTTGAGCTCTGAAACCAGTCCTTTAAAAATACTTTGGTAAAAGAAAATTTCTCAGGGAACAGGCTTTCGTTCAAGACATTACTACTATTTCTATTTAAAATAGTTGTAATAGCTTAAAATAGTTGTTTATAGTACTTTTATTTTTAAATCCTCTGTTACATTTTTCAGTGTGAATATTATCTGGTGCTTATAGGAACAACATAGTAGTTTGAGCCTTTTTTGTCCTGAGAAAGTTACTCTCTCTGGAGTCAACTGGTGAATGCCTTTCATAGATAACTTTTTTTGCCATACCAGCAGATTGCCTCCCTGCATTTTTAATATCCAAATAAAACAGTGCCAAACACTTCACACCAGATTTTATAACACAGCTACTGAAAGTTGGTGTGGATAATTTTTATCTTTGAGCTCACATTGAGTAGATTTCAGGGCATGCAATAAAACAGTGGAGGGTTTATTTCAAGACCAAGGCAGCATAATAATTCTCATGTGCAGAGACATGACAGATGCCTCAATAACTATAACAAAATGGCACGGTTTTTGATAAGGACTATATGAAAAGTTCTTAACTTTCTCTAGTAGGCTTTTGTTTTTTCTCTAGACCTCTCACTGACAGAGACAAGCAACAGAGACAGCAGTTGGAGCGAGAGAAGTGACTGGGAGACCTACCTAAGGAGGTAATTGACCCAAATGATATTCTTCTCACTTGCGTTCTTGGCGTTGACAGCTATGGTTGCACTAGATTGTATCCAGATATAACCTCCATTCTTCTGCATCCAGCGGTAATACTTTGTTACACACTGACCCTTATTCAGCACTGACAGGAAAATACAAACAGAACACAAGCAAGATAGAGTACATGTTAGAATTGCAGTAAAATGACCTTCATTGTACAACGTGACACAAGTATAAGCAGAAGATACTTGCTTCCTGTGGATTTAATGGCAGTGAGATGACAAACAGGATCTGAAGTTCAGTGAAACTAGCTACACATTTTAAAAGTTTTAAAGTATAATTTTAATCTGCTTTTGGAAACTCTAGTGGAAGAAGAAAAGTAAAAAAAAAAAAGCCTACAAATCTCTATGGTTCTCGGAATACTTATTGCTGTGTGGACATTTCCTATGCACTCAATGTCAAACTGTAAAAAAAGAAAAGGAAAAAAGAGGCAAATTTATATGTGATTTATTCATAGCTCCTAGGTAGACCTCTTTGAGATTCTGGATATTTGAAAGGTTTGGGAAGATACTCTACCCCTGCTGCTTTGATCATTTCTCCTCATTGCAGGCGATATCAACCACTGAACTTATACATCTGTTTCTTTGATCTTGTCAAACAGAATTTACAGTTCTCAGATGAACCAAATCTCCACTGGTCAGTGGGGGAAAAGTCTTTGGAGAATTTACTTTCTACCAGAGCAAAGTAAATCCACCAACAGGCTGAGAAAGAGGCCTAAGGGAGGCACAGAGTGGCTTGGTTAGAGCCAAAGAGTGACAGCTCTCTCTGATGCTTGAAATATGCTAGGAAACAGAAAGAAGTAAAAGCAATCAGTAATGTGAAACGGCGCTGTTAGATGCTCACAGCAAGACGGCTTAAAATACAGAAGTTTAAAGTAATACTTCAGCCAACATATTGCCAAGTTGAAACGGATTTGTTTTGTATCTGATTCTTCCGTGTCAGGAGAAGGGAATGAAAGGTAAATCTTTCAGTGGAGGGTAGCAGAACCGCTTTCTAAAACCCGTAAACCAGACAAAACCGAGGCGCGGCTGGGCTGGATCCCTTCCCTCCGCGCATTCCTGCCGGCTCCCACAAAGGCTCGTGCACTAGAGGGCAGTGTGCCTTCACATTCACCGCCCGCTTTTGTCATGTCCTTGTCTCCGGCTGCTGAAATGAAAAACCTCTAACTGCTGTAATAAATTTGGCTAAATTAGCTGCTAAATGGTTATCTCAAGTAATATGTATTTGCATTAATCATCTTGCTCTAAACCAGAACAAGCCAGAGTCCTAAAGATGTAGTAAATTCATATTGTCCATTTAATTACGGCTAATAAGTGCTTCATATACAATAGTTTCATGAGGTACATTTTCTTTTTTCCCCATTTTTCCTTTTCATTTTCTTTTTTTCATCCTTTTTATTTATTTTTTTTTTTTTTTGAGAGAAAAGAAAAAAATCACTTTGGAAAAGGATAAGTATTTAAGGCAGTAAAAGTTCCTACCTTCCTACCATAAATTTGACAAATGACACTTTGGAGCTTTCAAGTTAACCAAGTGTCTATACCCCCAGTTATACATGTGAATGTATCTATATCTAAATCTGTGTACAGTAGATATTTACAGAAAAAGATGTTTTACAAAGGCAGCCATACAAACAGTGTTGTTTCCTTACCTTGGGGGTATCCCCCAATCCCCACTGCAATTTTTCAACTACTAGAGAAAAACATGCATGTAAAATAGTGCCATGTAAAGTGAATGTGAAGTGCAAGTTATGTTCAGCTCTAATATAAACAAATATTTGTATCTGTGTCTTACTGTTTTTCAGCAGCCTCTAGTGAACTAAGTTTGTTTCTAGCAGACATCAATATTTCCCTAAATTTTTACTTTTGTATTTCAAGCTCTAAATATTCTACTATGATAATTCATTGTCTTCAAAACCTCATTATACAGCAGAATAAAGATAAAACTTGAACTGACTACACAGCATTTCTGTCAAACCAATGTTGTAAGCCACTTTAGAAAACAATCTCACATAAATTAGCCCAACTTTATCAGTTATGAAGAATGAGGGAAGAAAAACATTGCTGTAAGTTTTGATTATGGTAAGCATTTCCAGTTCAGTAAAACAGGACATTCAAAATACTCTGCTTACAGCTGAGTGTAAAACTGATGTGCACACAAGTATGGAGTGAATACCCACAGTTGCATGCAGAAACTAGTAAAATCCATCTGCACTAGTACCTAGTAAATACACTATTGTCTTCCTTGGAACAGTTTTTATCTAAGGAATTTACCATGCTACACAAATGCCAAAGGACAACTGTCCACATACACATTTGAAAATCAAAGTACCAGGTGAGTAACTAGCCAGTGGCTGAAGGGCACACTGCAGTTATTCATAGAAATAGTTATAAGGTCCTAGATTCTCCAGCTCTTTTGGTCATCCTAGACAATTCCTTCATCCTTCAGTAACTTATATATTGGTTGTTACATCACTGAAAAAGTCTGTCATGGACTGAACAGAGCATTCATTTCAGAACTATGGAAAAGAGGAAATGATGCCTGCTTTCTTAAGAATGAGAATTCCATGCATCAGGGCTATATACAACCCATCTACTCTCAGAGTTCAGGCTCCCAAGTACAAAGAATACATCCAAAGAATGTCTGAAATACTGTATTAAAAATGAACTTTCCTTGAAGTTCATCTGCCTGCAAGTTCCCACTCTATTTTTGGCCAGCTTAGATATATTACCAGATACATAGAATTTTCCTTGCTGCATCTGTCTAAAGCACATTTCATATAAGAGATTTGTGGCCCATGCTCTAAAGGAAGTCCCATGATTCAATATAAAAATTCTCTCAATAAAGAGATTCTTCAGCAGGCAAGCTGTACTGTGCTGCTAAATCTGGTTTTTACCTCCTGTGAGAGTGCACTAGGCACCCCCAACTCAGTTCTCAAAGTTCCCAGTATACCTTGGAAAGAGATTTCTAAATGTGATGAAAGAAAATGATAATGAAAAAAAATTGAATTGTTTTCTAATTTACAGTATTGTTTAACTGCTGGCATTGCCAACCTGCAACTTAGAAATTATTATAAGAATTTTGAGGCAAAAATAGTAATTAGAAAGGAGACAGGAAGGAGGGAAATTTATCTAGTTTATTGGTAACTAGTTTTGCTGAGTAGAGCCCAGTTTCATTTTAAAGATCTTCAGTCTGCAGGAATGGAGAGTCCATTAATAAAGTTCCTGATTTTCAGAAGAAATGAAAGCAAATAATCACTCCACTCTAAGCTCTGATTGTGAAGATATGTTTTCTAACTAGCAACAGAACATGCATTTCAGTTTAGCATAAACTGAATGTAAATGTAATACCATGTAGATTACATCCTGACTTTTCAGGATGTTCTGTTTTCAGGCAAATCCCTCACTCACTGAGTGGTGCAAATAATTTTATATTTCTATTTGTGTTATACATGGAGAACCCAGTATGACAGATAAGGTGAGACTAGTGACCAGATTGGTGGGATGGTGCATGTGACAGGATTAAGCAGGATTGGGTTACATAATTTTATATATATATATATATATATATATATATATATATATATATATATATATACACACACACACACACATAAAGACAGACATATACACAAACCCTTTAATCAAAGGGACTGAGGGTTAATGTTTTAAAATTGGTGACCTTTATGTCAGCTGTACAGATATATTCCCTAAAATGGTGGATGGTAAACCTGATTAAAATTTGCTGAAATGTTACCTAGTTCCTCAATTTGAATTCAGTGGTTGGCATGCAAGAAGTGCACAGTATGTCATGCTAAGAAATAAAAAACCCCTCACTTATTTCTCAAAGTATGAATATATTGCTGTGTACACAGTTCCCAACAGAGGGATTTCAGTTTTCCTTGGTAGCTTTGTGCACAGCAATATTCTTGTAGCGGTGGAATGAAGGAGGGGGAAAAAGAAGAAACAGTCAGTGTTCTTTGCAGGAACCTATTTCTGTTAGAAAATTAAAATAAATCAGTACAAGTTTGTCTTCAGAAATATGGTTACAAATAGAAAAAGAACATAGTTTCTTCCTGTAAGGCTGTTCTGAGAAATCAAAGCCAAAGCTTCTAAATAGTGAGTTGTGTTTTAAAAGAAGGAAGTAGCTTAATTCAGTTTGAAGAGGAGATGAAGAAATTGTGTATCAAAAGCAGTCTTTTAGCAAAGTCTCTTACAAAAGGACATTTTACTCATGTGCATATGCATTTAAAAGCTACACTATATTGCGTATTCAGGTAAGTATTGAGTAAATAGGAAATGATGAGATCATCTTACATATTCACACAGCTTCACAAAGAGGCTCTTTATAATTGGTGAAAATATTGAGGTTACATCTGCTCTGCTATTCACCCTTCTCCTTGAAATACCTTTATCAATGACTGGATGGTAGTTCTCTCATGGTAAACTTATAAGAATATTTTTAATTTACTGCACAAGGATGAAATTGCTGTACTTAATACTATAGTTGGATACTTAGCTGCAGCCACAAGTACTCTTTCTACATTCACAAAACTGGCAGACGAAACATGAAAAGGAATACTGACTCTTTAATCTCCACTTCTCCACCTAAGGCCCAAGGCAAGCTGACAGGGTAACTTCGTTCTGGAAACAGAGGGGTTTTTATTTTTTTAAATTCTGGATTACTTTTTCTTCTGCTTTTGAAAACTGTAGGCTATAGGGGAATGAACCTGGCATAGACTTAAAACAAGAACAAGTTTCTTTATCTGAAAAGTTACAGTCCTTGATGCTTACAGGAAGGTCATTTTCAAAACCCACAGGAAAAATAGCATCACAGCCAGAAAGAGTGCCTTATTTGCCTGTAACAGAGACAGTTGTCCATTTATAATGGCTTTGAGGATCAAGTGAGTCTTTGATGTTGTAAGGACTTTCCTATAGATTTTGCAATTAGTGAGCTAGATGTTTAAAATAGTGGGTATCCATAAATTGGATTTTAGCAATGAAAAATATTCAGCGATGTTAAATAATGCTTGCTACAGAATTAGGAGCTAGATGGTAGGAGACTTGTAGACATTTGGTGAGGAAT